ATACTAGGCACCTCGTAGAGCCTGGACGTAGCACATTCCCTCCACGCGAAACCCAGGCTGAAGTCCTGATTGAGATTCTCAAGTAACAACCCCTCACTCTCTCCAAAAAAATTGAACCCCCTCTTCCCCCCCTCCCGAGGAGTCCCGCGCCGGAGTAGAAAGTCCAAGTACCTCAGCTGGTATATGACGACAAACCCGACGACGACATTAAAGTTGAGAAGGAGGAGGAGGAGGTTGAAGTGGAGGAGGAGGAGGAGGAGGAGGAGGAGGAGGAGGTGTGTGGGGGGGAAGGGGCATGGGCAGGAGAGGGGGGGAGGCAGCCGTGACGTGTGACTGCTCCAGGCATCCGATCTTCGAGGAGGATGAGATGACTCTCATTCTAGTTGGGGGGCTGCTGGGAGGCGCTGCAGGTGACGGAAGAGGGAAGAGCACGAGCAGGGGCAGGGGCAGGGGCAGGAGGTGGTGGAGGAGGTGGTGGTGGAGGAGGAGGTGGAGGAGGAGGTGGTGGAGGAGGAGGAGGTGGTGGTGGTGGTGGTGGTGGTGGAGGAGGAGGTGGTGGAGGTGGTGATGGAGGAGGAGGAGGTGGTGGGAATGCTGATGTTATTCGAGGCACGAGGGCACATGACTGATTCTCGACAGGCTACGCTCAAACAGCCTTCTATTGAATGCCGGGAGGAGAGGAGGAGGAGAGGAGGAGGAGGAAGGGGAGGAGGAGGAGAGGAGGAAGGGGATGGGGAGGGTGGGGAGCACAGGCGGGTGAAAAGAAATTCTTCCTTCTCCATTTTAACCTATTCTATAATCAGATCAATGCTCAACATCTTTTCTGTCCTGCTCCCACATTCTTATTCCATTGCCCTCCTGCTTACATAATCCTCCTCGCCCTCCTCGTCTGCAGCAGCAGGAGCGCAGCTTCCTCCTGCCTGTGTTAGCGCATCTTCACATGGTCGTCATTTCACGCAATGATCCTCCTCGTAAGATTATTTCCCTGCCGCATCTCTGTTTTCCATCAGCAGTTCTCTTCAATAGATCATCCTCTCTCTTCCTGCTTGTTGTACACTCTCCTCTCCCTCCATCTTCCTCCTCTCCCTCCATCTTCCTCCTCTCCCTCCCCTCGCCATCGCCCTCCTCCCCCTCCCTCAAAAAGCATCAAAAAAAAAAAATTAATTCTGCGAAAATTTTGTTTTAATGTTCAGAGGAGGAACCAGCTCCTCCTCCTCCTCCTCGCCGCTGCCATCTCCCCCTCCTCCTTCTACTACACCTATCGCTACCACTTCCTCCTCCTCCTCCTCCTCCTCCTCCTCCTCCTGATTATTCTCAACGACAGCTCTAGTACTGTCTCTAGGTTTACAGTGTGACTTCAAAATCAGTGACCGCGCTAGGCCTTCCAGCCTCCGGTGAGGAAGGGAGCAGGGATGGGGTTGACCGCGCTAGGCCTTCCAGCCCCCGGTGAGGAAGGGAGCAGGGATGGGGTCGCTGGATGGCTGGCTCGCGCTCTTGAAGAAGCAAGTGCCGGTCCCACCAGCCTTGTGCGTGAAGGACTTGCAGTTGGCCAGCTTGTTGCACTGCCTGCAGCAGTCCTGGAACGTGGGGTAGTTTCCTTCCTCCTTGATGTCCCCGAGGCCCTTGAAGAGCTCGTAGTTGTCTCGGATCGTGTAGCCCTCGCACACTCCCTCCCCCTTGCTCTCCTTGTGCCACTCGAAGTCCACGTACGAGTCCAGCAGGCTCCTCTGCAGCTCGAGGTCCCGGTCGTACTGGTGGACCACCCGGGCCAGCTCGTTGTTGACGTTGTAGACCTTGCCGGAGCGAAACTTCATCACGTGCGCCTGCATGTTTGCAACTAGCCCGTCGTCCTGCCTGTTCACCCTCAGGTGGGGGATCTTGTCCGTGTGGACGAGCACATTGTGTACGCCCTGGTCGACTCCGTTCCTCTCGCAGGCGGCGAACTCTTGCTTCATGATATGCTCGCTCATGGCCTGCAGGTACGACTTCACTGCGTCCATCGTCCCCATCGAGATCCCCGAGCAGATGATGGGCTTCGAGGACAGCCGGCTGAACATCTCGGGCCCGAAGCAGTCCCTCACCCAACCCCCGTTCCACCCGCACTGCCCGATCGTTCGATCCTGGACGCCAGTGAAGGCGAGGAAGGAGGAGGAGGAGTCCTTGAGGATCTCAAAGGGGTCGCCCTGGAACGCCGTGTCGCGCACGTCTGCCATGAGCACTCGTTTGTACTTGTCGGGGTGGAGGCTGAAGAACTGGTGGATGAGGGGCCACCGGATGGTGGACGGATGAAACTTTCTCGTCCTCTCCACCATGGACTCGCTCGTCTTGAAGATGATGAAGTTCACACCTGCTTCTCTCCCGATCTTCTCCACCTCCTTCTCCAGCTCGTCCACAAACAGAACGATGTCGCATTTTGAGTAAGCTCTCAGTGACTTGACGAACACGGCCAGCTGAACCGCGTGGATCTTGTGGGCGATCCCGATGGCGATGTCGGTCGATCCTCCTCCCTTCAGCTCCCGCATGCTCGAGTCGCTCATCAGCTTCTCCTGCGCCTCCCCTTCTCCAGCTGCCACTCGCGCAGCTGGGCTGTCGCTGGGAGCTGGAGGGGAATGAGTGCTGGGAGCGGGCGGAGAGGAGGAGGACTTGAGAGCGCTGCTTCCCTTGGTCTTGTACGTGTCCTGCACTTCCTGCAGGATGAGCATGCTCGTCTGCACCGCCAGCGCCACCATCGCCAAGCCCATCACCGCCTGCGCATGCCAACGCCGCATGGCGCTTGGTCAGCCAACATTCGCGGACCTCCTTGTCACTGCTTGCCGCCGCTGCCAGTCACTCCCGGCCGTGCCGAGTCACTCAGCAGGCTGAAGACTGAGATCAAGCGGAGCTGCTCCTTTACTCAAAGTTACTGTGACTCAAAGTTGGGCCGTCTGTGCTCGGAGCTACTCGTCTAGTTCTCAGACTTCCCGCCGAGCTACTAGTCTAGTACTATCTCTTTACTCGCCGCGGCGGAGTCGTACTATCCAGCCCGGGCTCAGTCCGACTTTCAGCACTGAGCTGGCCCAGGGCTGACTTGCCGCTGTGCTGTGCCTCGGATCCGATGATGGCAGTTACTCTCAGATTGCCGCCGGTGACCGTTCAGCCTGCGATCGCCTCGCCCCGGCCACGCCCGGCCGGTATGACCGACTCTGAAACTTGGCCAAGTAGCGTACGGTCTCGGTGCTGTCCTAACTTCAAGGTAGACCTTCAATGGCAGGCTAGTTTGTGCGCCCCCCCGGGGCCCCACAGTCTGCGCGGGATCGCATGGGGTGGTGAGAACGTTAGGAAGCCGCATGGATGCTCGCAGACTAAGGGGAGGGAAGAAGGGAGGGAGGGAGGGAGGGAGAGAAAGAGGGAGGGAGGGAGGGAGGAAGAGAAAGAGGGAGGGAGGGAGGGAGAGAAAGGAGGGAGGGAGGGAGGGAGGGAGAGGGTCCCATAGTAGTCTAATTTGTTTAGATTGAAAAGATAATTCAGGGAGAAGCTCTTCTGACTGAGCCTTTAAACC